CAGCTTGCAATATCAAGCACCATAACGGACAGTTTTTGCGCAGCTAAAAAAAAACGGAAGCGGATGAGACCGGAAGCCTCGACACAATCAAGTCACAATGGCTGCGCACAATCTTACATTAAGAATAAGATGAGTAGTTTGCACAAAAATAAAAATTCTGCCTTCATTTACCCACCTTCATGTCATTCCAAACCTAAAACCTTTCTTTCATGTTATTTTTTTTTTAATTGGTCTAAACAACACTGGACCCCATTGACTGTAACTTTATGAACAAAAAAATACTGACATATATATATATATATATAATTTTCTTTTTATATATACACTCACCTAAAGGATTATTAGGAGCACCATACTGATACTGTGTTTGACCCCCTTTCGCCTTCAGAACTGCCTTAATTCTACGTGGCATTGATTCAACAAGGTGCTGAAAGCATTCTTTAGAAATGTTGGCCCATAGATTGATAGGATCGCATCTTGCAGTTGATGGAGATTTGTGGGATGCACATCCAGGGCACGAAGCTCCCGTTCCACCACATCCCAAAGATGCTCTATTGGGTTGAGATCTGGTGACTGTGGGGACCATTTTAGTACAGTGAACTCATTGTCATGTTCAAGAAACCAATTTGAAATGATTCGAGGTAACAAGGCATGATGGATCCATGTTCTCATTCTGTTTACGCCAAATTCTGACTCTACCATCTGAATGTCTCAACAGGAATCGAGACTCATCAGACCAGGCAACATTTTTTCCAGTCTTTTTTCCAGTTTCACTGTGCGTGAAAATCCCAGTAACTGAGCAGATTGTGAAATACTCAGACCGGCCCGTCTTGCACCAACAACCATGCCACGCTCAAAATTGCTTAAATCACCTTTCTTTCCCATTCTGACATTCAGTTTGGAGTTCAGGAGATTGTCTTGACCAGGACCACACCCCTAAATGCTTTGAAGCAACTGCCATGTGATTGGTTGATTAGATAATTGCATTAATGAGAACAGGTGTTCCTAATAATCCTTTAGGTGAGTGTATATATATATATATACTTTATGTTCCTGTTGTGTTTTGTTGTACTGTTGGCAGAATTTACATTTTTGGGTGAACTATCGCTCCTTCCTTTTTTCAAATTCAATTTTCTTTTAATTTGTAAACCACAGTGAGGTTGATGTTACACTGACTTGAGTTTGTGCAGATCCTCCATTGCCCGGGCCAAGGCTTCCTCAGCTCTCTGAGCTCTGTCTTCAGCCTGGCTGGCTCTCTGAAGCAGAGCGGGGACCCGATCACCAGCCGAAGGGCTCAACGTCACAGCTGCTGCCTCACTCAACTCTTCAACATCTGACAAAATGTAAGCCAGTAGCACAAATGCGTTTAAAACATGTAAGAAAGTTTACCACTTACTTACACCATGTGTAGCCTTTAAGGTTTCAAACAATCTGCAAGTCATTTTGGACTCGGGTAACTTGGCAATCCTTGTTCTCTTAGATTTGAGTGATGCTTTTAACACTATTGGTCATGAGACTCTACTCGACCTGGGTAATCAGGTCCTCCTAAGTAATCAGGTCCTGTCTTAGACTGGTTCAGATCCTACTTAAGTAGCAGGAAATACTATGTTGCACTGGGTACCTACACCTCCAGGCGTTACGTTATATCTTGTGGTGTTCCTCAAGGCTCAATTTTGGGTCCTCTATTTTTTAACCTATACATGCTTCCTTTAGCTGGTGTAATTGAACAGTACATTATTTCCTTTCACCAGTATGCTGACACGCAGCTTTATTTTCCATTTGCACCAGATAGAGATACCCACAATTCAATTTCCACCCTGCTGGACTGCATTGTGAATGTCTCAGAACTATCTATTATAATGATGCACGGAGAACATCTATTGCTCCATATCGTGTCTCTCTATCTCTAAAAGCCAGTAATCAGGTCAAGATCTTAGGAATCATGTTTGACAGTGACCTCAGTTTTAAAATTCAGAATACAGCTTGCGTAATACAACCTACTAGCAATCGACTCGCATTTAAAAAGTATCTTAAACACATTTGTTCACTAGGGCCTTTCCTTGATTTATTTTATAGTTGTTTTATTATCTTATACTATAATATTATATTATACACACTGTTTTTAAAAGGTGTTACGTAAATAAAGCCTTACTTACTAAAAGACTTCTGTTTCAAATAAACCCTTATCTTTTGAACTTTTTAAGAAACCTGGAAATAAAAAAGCATCATGATTTCCACAAAAATATTAAGTAGCACAGTTGTTGATAAAAATAATACTTGAGCATCAAATAAGCATATAAGAATGAATTCTGAAGGATCATGTGACTCTGAAGACTGGAGTAATGATGCTGAAAATTCCACTTTGCCATCACAGGAATAAATTACATTTTAAAATATATTCAAATTGAAAACATTATTTTAATGCCAATAATATTGTACAATATTACTGTTTTTATTATATTTTTGATCAAGTAAATGCAGCCTTGGTGAACATAAGAGATTCCTCGCAAAAGCATTAAAAGAATCTTACCGACCCTAAACTTTTGGACAGTGTGTGTGTGTGTGTGCGTAAACATATAGCCTATGGATGGGAATTTGTCTTTAGAAATCAGACAAAAATAATAATTCTCCTACCTATCTGCAGTAATGGGTCATCTGGTAATACTGGCTTCATATATTCATCACTGTTCCAAGGCACTGGACCATTTGAAGCCAGTAACAAACTCTCTGCAGAACATTTCTACAACAACAAAAACACACACACAACACAAACTTAGTCAGGCTTCAAGTCATCTTGTCACCAATATCCACTTGAACCATATAAATGAAATGGATACTTACTGAAGTCCTTATGTAGTTTATCATTTTAATGTAGCTATAATCATCAAGCCCTAAAGAGGAATTAAAACATTATATATAAGATATATCAGACATCACTCAGAACACTGAGCAGTCCTTGGTTTGGAAAACTTACTGTGTTTTTGAACAAGTTCTGGAATATCCACACCATGGTCTGCCTTACAGTGTTGTAATGTCTCAGACACAGAGGTGAGAGTCCTGTTTAAAGTGAGACACAGATGCATGAGTACACATAAACCCATCATCCTACCGGTACTAAATAGGTTGTATATGACTTGACATGTACAAAAAGACTGTTATAGGATCAGTTCAACCAAAAATACAAATTCTGACTGAACTAAACGTGAAGAGACATACAGTTTTGCAAATCTAAATAAATAAATATTTATAGTGTTCAAATCAGTGTTATTATTATCGTATAACTATATAACTAAAAGATTAATCAAATATTTAATAGCTAAATTAGAAATGTTGCAGGCTGGCGGTCATATTTGGAGATATCAGACAAATACAAGTTTGAAACAAACATGAGCGGATCACAATCCACAAAATCTGTCTCTAGTAAGTAATCTTTCAGATTTCTGTCAGGAAGAATCATGATGAGTGGTTTGTATTGGATGTCACCTGTCACACAGCACACACAGGACTGTTATGAGTTCAGATCCCTCCTCCATTGACTGCCACTGTTCTTCATCACTGTCAGACAGCTCGGGCACATCATCACACACATCATCACCTACGTGGCACGAAACAATTACATAGTCTTAAATCACACATCCATACAACATCTTCTATACAACCGGTCAGAACCTTTGACATAATTAGCGGTAGCGGAATTACACCATTTAGAAAAAAATCCTCTAGGATTAAAAATACACTCTTAAGATTCGTTACATTAAGGCAGTTAAAATCGCATCATAAGTTACAGCAAATATATACATCACATTTTAAACATGCACGTGTACCTGTGTACGCTGCCATGTTGTAGTCTCTCTCTTGAATTCGAGTTTTTCCCATCCGGGTCATTCTCATTCAGGTGTACTTCCCTTTTATCACCATGTGAGGTCGCTGTTTTCACAATAATGACATGCAGCACATGTAGCAAAAGAAGACTCAAATACCCCATTGTTTCTTTCTGTAACCTACTAATAAAACATCAATAAGTCATTTTTGTATGTTTATGTTCCTCTTCAACTCAACACAACGACTAAACCAGACATGTGTGTTTAGAATAACACTCACTGCTTATCAGTCAAAACTTTGGACTCAGTTGACTTCACATTGTATTATAATTAATATTGTAAGGCTTAATAAAAGTATAACAATATAGCTATTTTTTTAAAGGCTTGTGCTTAAATTGTGTACTAACTTTTTTTTTTCACATTTTGTGTGTAAATTTGTAATTGATAAGTTAGACAGGAAGGAAAAGCATCAAGTGTCAAGCACACGTGAACTCTTTCAGTGTGGTTTAAAATAATCTCAGAATCACAAAGTCGGATCATGGGTAAATAAATAGCAGTTGAAGTCTCCACATTCAAAAACAGATCTTCTGAATGCAACTAAGCTGTATATGCTGAACAGCTCGTACAGTATGTGTTATGCGGTGTCGTATGTTTAATGTCAATCTAAAGCTAATAAATGCTTGTGAAGTTGTGACTATTAGGGCAAATTATGTTTCATCATGACTAGTGTTGAGTAAGTTACTCTAAAAAAGTAATTAATTACTAATACTAATTACATTTTCAACAGTGTAATCAGATTACTTTACTAATTCCTCTCTAAAAAGTATTGCATTACTTATTAATCCCATATCAACCTGGACCAGTTGAACAATACAGGGATAGACATGAAACGTCTCTTTTAATTCTTTCAAATATATAATATAAAATTGCAGAAATTATTCTTGAACTGACCAACATATTTTAAGGGAGAAGGTTTGATTAAAAACATACATTTCAACAGTAGACAATGTTAAATGTTGATGCTAAATCCAATATTGTTTTATGATTGTTCTATTGTCTATAAAGTACATCAGAAGTAACTAACTATGCTACTAAGAGAAATCCCTTACTTTACTTTTCAATGGAAAAGTGATTAAATTACAGTAATTAATTAAAAACCCAAAACTGATCATGACCAACTAAAGTTGAATGTTTGAATCCACTTTTCAGACATAACACACAAAATAATATTACTAAATACACAATAGTTGTGATCAAGTATGAATATAATTTATTTTTTCCAGATGCATATACAATTAAATAACAAAAAAAAAAGCACCAGAATCCAAAGCGACCCATAGAAAAGCACATATAACCCTTATTTAGAACAAAGTAGTACTCAACATTTTTAAATATGTTTTTAAAATACTCAATATGATAATAGAACCCAAGTAAACTGCATTAAAATAATATTTTGGCTTATCTTGCTCACGAATCACACCATGCCAGAATTGCACTTAATTTAAAAATGTGGAAATGAAAGTGTTATTTTTTGTCCCCAATGTTACCAAGATTGTATATGGCCTTGTTTTCAAGAATTTCCACTTTCTGCTCTCCATCTTGGAGTGTGTTGACAAGCATAGCTCTAGCGACTGATGTGATGGGGATGGACATTGCGGTAGGGAAAACGGAGGAGAATGCACCAAGAAATGTCCGGGCCATCCACTCAGCCGGCCTGCTCTCCTGTCTGTCCACTAGGAGCACCCTAGAAATAAACAACCAAATATGAGCAACAGAACAAATGATGAACTATGCATGACCTCAGAAATCACAACAGATTTTAATCCAGCACTTCAGGAACAAAAAAAGTAGAAGGACTCACGCTGGTCTGTAGACGGAGAAACGCTCAAAGCCGAGGTCTCCAATTTCTGCTTCAACCTGTCCCTGTAAATACACCCGTGTTACTGCATTGGTCAGTACTTGGATTGAAATACATTAAAATACAAGATTGTGCTTCTTTAGCCATAAAAAAGCAAGCAAATCTCGGCTGGCCATATGTTGCATTGGGTGTTCTAATACCTTAGTTTTCAGGTAGAGAAAGCTGCTGGTTTTATCGGCACCTTTGGAGGATTCTAGGTGAAAATGGGAACAACCTCCTGCTTTGGCAAGTTCTGCGGACTTGAGTACGTAGTCATGATCCACCCGGAAAAACCCTACCTGTAGCCCAATTAAAAATGGAATGAGTAACGTTATTTATCATGAAATTAACCAAATTTACCACAGAAAAGGAACGTGAAATGAACTTGCATTGATGTGTCTTAGCACACTTAAAAATGTTTTTCATGATTTATCACCACATTTTTTCTTTGGTCAAATCAACATAGATCATTTATGTGGTTCAGAAGTTTTTGAGAACTCTTAGTATAGAGAAACAGAAAATGCTTTTCTTTTTAAGTTGTGTTTTTCATACACATTTACATTGCCAATTTTCAGCATTTATTCCCAATAATGATCTTTGTTATTATACAAAAGTTAGCTTGTTTAAGAATTTTTTGAGTTGAAACAGCTGAAACAGACCCTAATTTCAAGCATTATCAACTAAGGTTCTGGAGAAAAGTCCTTCATGCATTAATATGATCCATAAAGATGACGTCTGAAACATACAGCTCCTGCTTTGGCTTTGGTTGTTCCTAGACAGCAGTATCCCACATCATGGCCCTGAAAAGCCTCCGCGTACTCCTCCAACTTCTCAAAATCAACCACCTTTTGCACCTGAGGAGAAGAGGAAGAAGGCTAATGAATGGTAAGACCTGAATCCATGATAACGTTTAAAAAAATGACACCTGCAAACACAAACTCTCGTCCCAGATCTTTTATTATGCAATACAATTGTATTCCTTTTGGACTACTGTACATAAACAGAACATTCCCAAACTTGGCACATTACCAAATTTTCATAGGCTTTATCCTCAAAGGTTAACTGCCTTCGTCCGATGAGAGTGATCTTGGAGAAGATGTTGCGCTCCACTATTTCCTTCAAGAGCGCCTTTCCAGTCTCACCTGAAGAGCCGAGAATGAAGCACGTTCTGTTCTTTTGTCTGTAATTCTCTTCCATTGCTTTCAGATCCATTCTGTAATGAAGAAATTATTGCATAACCGTTTGAATCTCGCAACATCACAATGACACTGCAAAATTTGCACATGTGAACTAGATTTGCTATTAGTTATATAGACGATCAAGTTGTTCCTCAAAGCGAAATTCAATCAGCAATTCGTTTTTATTTATTTTTTACTAGTGATATTTGTACAGCAGTTCCAGCAGGGGTGTGTTAAATAAGTTACCTGAATAATACTGAGAAATATTAATAGCAACTGTGCTGCAATATATATATATATATATATATATATATATATATATATATATATATATATATATATATATATATATATATCTGATAACTCTGAAGCCAGCCACTTGAGAGCTTTTTTCATTCATGTAATTTATTTATATTTTCTATTATTGTTCATTTCTATCGTTATTTTTTTATTATTTTATTGCAATTTTGTTGTTCTTTTTGCACATGCACTTTATTATTATTACTATCTTTGTTTTGACAATGTTAATGACACAATAATGAAGAAAGAAATGGCATTCTTATTAAGGTGTGGTTCTATCGGCTAATCAGAAAGATCACGCACTGCAAAAAAATATTGGAAATGCAATCAGTACAAGCAGGACAAAGCAACAATGTTGCACCAAAGCAACCAGTATTGCATAGTAACATATAGTAATCTAGAGTAGAAGTGATCGTAGTAGGCTAGTTCGTAATTAATACTTTACCTTGGGATCTCGACAGTCTCTGAATTCTCCAGATACTGAAAAACAGCGGCGAGGGCCACAACAAAAACAGTGAAGAAGCTTAAGGCTTTACTCCAGTTACACTGTAATATATTCATGCCAGGCTCGATAAACAGAGGAAAGGTAGTTGGTACACTGAAGCTTCTTCCTAGTTACATTCTCGTTTCACACGGCGCATGCGCAGAACGCGTACATACACCGCATGCAGAGACGCTGCAACTGTTTTGAAACGGAAATGCACGAGCACGACTGGACACGAGCAAGTGTCCCTTAAAGGGATAGTTCACCTAAAAGTCTTTCGTTCATTTTCGGAACACAAATGAAGATCCTTTTGATGAAATCTGAGAGCTTTCGGACTCCATTGACGGCTACGCAACTACCACTTTGATGCTTCAAATTTCAAAAAGTTCATAAAGAGATCGTCAAACTATTAATACATGAATTGAGTGGTTTAGTCCAAATTTGATCGCTTTATATGATGAACAGATTGAATTTAGGCCTTTTTTTATTGAACTCCTCCTATATTTTTCCCGCAGATGGAACAAATAAAAAATGTGTAGTGTTAAAAGAATGCAAAGAGTTCAAGTAAAGAAAAGAATGACAAAGTGTATGTATTATGTTGAAGTCAATAAAATCAATAATTAGGAGTCCAAGTAAGTGAATGACACCTAATTGCTATTGTTAATTTTATTTATATGAAATTCACTATTACATTTTTTTATATATCTGTCAAGGAATTCTATGGCAAATTTATTTTGCATTTTTAAATCACTTATTTTCATACATTTCATATCTCACAATTGCAATTTTATTTCTATTTATTGCAACTTTATCTCTCAATGGGACATTTTTTCTTTTGAAGTTTATCATCACATCTATTTTTTTACTTTGAGAAAGTATTTTTTACTAATTAAAAACATTTTACTCATAAATAAATATATTTTAACAAAATAATGAATACATTCATTGATAATTAATACATTTGGGGTATATTTAAAAAGTAAAATAATATAAAAATTAAAAAAAAGTTTAAAATGTCATATCACTGATTAAAGAAGAAGTTGTATTTTTCATAGAATGCTGGCACACATGTTGAGATCACATAATCAGAACAATATTTACTCGCTTTATCACCTTGAATCAAATAATTTATTTCTACAATGCCATCTGTAACCGACACGCTTCTGTGTGATGCCCTCTCCTCAACAGTAGGTGTCAGTATAAGTTTAAGATCATTGTCTCGGAGCTCTATTGGGGCTTCTCTTGCCTGCCACTATTATGTTTTGATGGTGAAACAAAAAATGCTTGCCTCATTTCTGTTTAATCTTTTATGTCTGCTTCATGTCTGTAAAGCTGTGGAAAGGCTTTCCTACCAGAAAGTACAAATCAAACATGCACATTTTGCAATATTACTAGGACAGTGTGATTAAAGTCCTTAAATGGAATACCCAATACGCATTTCAAAACTGCATCATACAGTGTCATTAAACATATCAAAATAGTGAATGAGACCATTTTCCTTTTTAGCTAACAAGGCCACACCATATGTGCCAATCCTTTAAAGCAGATTGTATTGTCTGTGCACAAGACTCCAACTGTTTAAATTCCACCTCTTGTTCAAACGTTTGTTGGCCGCTAGTATGAATAGACCCATATGTCAGCTGACAATCCTGCTCTTTCAGATGTTACTGAACAAATGTAGTGGAGATTTAAAGGCTATGGATATCAGCTTTCATTATTTCTTCTTTAAATCTGTAAGAAAAACTGAAAATAGCTCTAGTACAGATAGAATAAATGTTTTTTTTTTTTTGTCATGTTTAATAAACCATATTTTAATGCAGCCATTTCACTCTTAGAAAACAAGGTTCAAAGGGGTTTTATATAGAATCCTATGCGTTCTTGGCTTAGTTTTAAAGAACCATTTATGCCAAAAAAGGTTCTATGTAAGTAGAAATGTCTTAAACATCATAATACTTTCCTGTTTATTGGGTTATTTCATTTTTTTTTTCTAGTGATAAAGTGCACTCTTAGAAAATAAGGTACAAAAGCTGTCACTGGGGCGTTACCCTTTCAAAAGGGACACCTTTACCTATTAGTACCTAAATGGTAAGCTTAATGAGAACCTTTTCAAAGGGTAACGTCAGTGACAGATTTTGTACCATTTTTTCTGAGAGTGTATGTTTAATTCATATAATGTAATAAAATTAAAATTGAATTAAAATGAATACATTTTAACTAAATCCATAATGATCCCATGGTGGAATTCCAAAAGGTTCTACACTGTAAAAAACATACATGATCAATAAGTTATGACAACTTATGTTTTTACATTGCTTTAACTCATCAAAATAAGTTAAGCGATTTCAACTATTTTTTATAAGTTATACAACCGTCAACTAATTTTAAAAGTCAGTTTAATGTAATTTAAGTTGAAATGACTCAAACATCCAAGTTGATTGTACTGAAATTTCAAGGCAGCGACTTTTTTCCCACAGTGTATTTAAAGCACCTGACAGAACCTTCAATAGAACATTTTCTTCTAAGAATGAGTTTGTTCAGCAACTTAGAACTAAATGACATGTACAAGTAAGGAAGTGTTATTCAGAAAGCACCATGCATCTGGATCTGCTCATGCAATGAATGAATTTTCCCTGCTGCTTTTTTTTAACTTAAAGGCTCTCTCTGAAAAGCTGCTCTTTTTCTATTATTGAGCTTAAACCAATCTCGTCGCGGAGAGGGAAGAATGACAAAATGCGTCATGAAGGAATCCACATCCCCCTCGCAGCTTAAGACAAAAGACTTGGATCTTGCTGTCCTGACAGTAACAGGGCGACCGCGGTGAGCCCCAGAGATGCCAGCGGACTATAGTCTGTTAATTACCACTGAGTGGAATCAAAATGGCTTCCTATTGTCCAGTCTTGGTGGGGGTTTGTGGCAGCCTGCGGAGGAGAGATGGCTTTGTAGGCCGCTGTCATACACACATGTTGAGTCATTGTGGGCTGACTTCGATCAGATGAACGTATGTAGGAAATGCGATTGAGGCCATGCTGGGGTTCAGGGGAGGGTTGTCATTCACAGTGTCATTAAAAACACTTTTTCCAGCCACACTTTTAAATGTCAAAACAGCTTGATATGACTTGAAGTCATGCATTTTACTTCTGATTATAACTCCAGATCTTTCACTACACTTTGCAATAAAGAATAATAAAAAATGGGTTACAGATAGCGAGCGGTAAATGTTTAGCTTATGCTATCAAGTTTTGATGTTACTTTCAAAAGTCTTTTGACTGACGCCTTTCTGTACAGGTGACACATAGCATGGCTCATTCAAAAAGGTTAAAAGAAACCCAGTAGTGCCAAACATGTAATATTTACAAAAAATGCAATATATATATATATTTATATATATATATATATATATAATATAATTTTTTGTAAATATATATATACAGTGTGTGTATATATATATATATATATATATATTAGGGCTGTCAAACGATTAATCGCATCCAAAATAAAAGTTTGTGTTTGCATAATATATGTGTGTGTACTGTGTTTAATTATTTTTAATACATAAATACCCACACATGCATGTGTATTTAAGAAATATTTGCATGTATATACTGTATATAGACTGAATGTAGCCTATATATAATGTATATTTTATATAAATATAAACATTTTATATATAAATAACATATTTTTCTTAAATATATACATGTGTGCATTTATATACAAAATAATTATACACAGTACACACACATATATTATGTAAACAAACACAAACTTTTATTTTGGATGCGATTAATCGTTTGAAAGCCCTAATATATATATATATATATATATATATATATATATATATGTGGAAAAGTAGATATAGTTATTTTAATGCTTTGTTGTTGGCAAAATATTTTTCTTGTAATTTCAATTTCAATTTATTCTAATCTCAACAGAAAGTTTGAATATGTATTCTGGGTAAAACACATAAATAAATAAAAAATAAAATGGATCATACAGGTCCAAACCTGTACGTGTATGCTTTGTTGTTAAAAAAAAAAATTGTTTTCCTTTTTTAAAATAAATTAGAATTGAAATTAGAATGTATTTCAATCACAACAGAACGTTTGAATTTGTATCAAAAAGTGGGTTCCAAATGGCTACGGTCACTAAAAACTAGATGTCTAATCCAGAATACACAGAAACAGGAGGCCTAATGCCCCACTGTAGTGCAATATGTCCCATATCCTGGCCAATTGAAACATGCGCACTGACACAGAGGGCTTAGCCAGCAGAGCCACTGACTCTTGAGTGTGATGCTAATGATGGCCATTAATGGAGCCTGACAGCACAATCTGCTCCTCATTGTAGCACCTTAGCAGGATCTGCAGCTTGCAAGGGGCCAAAGAGGAGGCGGGCGACTTGGGACGCCAGGACGAATCAAGTGGCAAGTGGTTGCGCGGGGACGGGGAGGTTTCAAGAACAGAACCGGGGACCTGGCACAGAGGGACTGCGGATTGCAGGCCGATCCCAGCTGATCCCCGGGTGAGGATTAGCTTAATTAGACCTCAATAGCCTTTATAGTCAAATGCAACTGTCAATTACTGTCAAAAAAAGGACTGTCCAATAATGTGGGCCTAATTCTTCAGTAGTCCCAGAGGTGCAGGCATCACAGGCTTCACAATCCCAGAGCTGAACAGGAGCGACATCATTAGACTTGACTCTTTTGCCTTGTTATATTTTTCATTTGCATGTCAGATAATCTTAACAACGACTGGCCTGGTCACACTATGACCCATATCAGACTAAAACCTGCAAGGGGATCTTAAAAATGAAAAAAGGTTTCCTATGGTAAAACACATTGTTCATTGTTAGTTCATGTTAGTTAACTAAACAAATGAGACCCTGTTGTAAAGTGTTACCAGAAAAATCAGATAAATAGAATATGTTTTGCATTATTAATTGCGCACAATGTTTAATTGATGCCATTTAAATGTTTTAGTCCACCCTACAACACTAATATATTATATCACACGAAAAAATTAACTCATTTCCTTACCATTTATCCTTATTCTTAATTTTATCATCTATTATTCATGTGGACATCACGTAGGTTTGAAAAAAAAATCTAAATGAATATATGGCTCTT